TAGTAGAAGTAGTAGAAGTAGTAGAAGTAGTAGAAGTAGAAGAAGTAGAAGTAGAAGTAGAAGTAGAAGTAGAAGTAGAAGTAGAAGTAGAAGTAGAAGTAGAAGTAGAAGTAGGAGTAGGAGTAGGAGTAGAAGTAGAAGTAGAAGTAGAAGTAGGAGCAGGAGTAGAAGTAGAAGTAGAAGTAGAAGTAGAAGAAGAAGAAGAAGTAGTAGTAGTAGTAGTAGTAGTAATAGTAGTGATAGTAGTGATAGTAGTGGTAGTCGTCGTCGTCGTCGTCGTGGTGGAAGTCGTAAGTCGTAAGTTGTAGTAGTAGTAGTAGTAGTAGTAGTACTACTATTACTATTGGTAGTACTAGTACTTGTGCTAGTACTACTACATTACATTGTGCCGGGAATTTGGAATCATTATTTTGTGGCGCCGTCTTGGCAATCTTGGTCATCTTGCCATCTTGGTCAATCTTGGTCCAAAAGCAAGTGTGCCAGCAATCTTGCTAATCTTGCCTGCTCCTGCTGCGTGGTTTCGAATAACGATACTCATTGTACTCACAATTTCAGTTTTTTGATGTCTACAAAGTACTAGTGGTGCGAAGGATAGCAGCAGTACTTTCACTGCCGCTGGCAAAGTTGATGATCACAGATAATCATAACTAGACGAATTGGATTGTTAAAGCCATGGCAAAACTGAGATTACAAAGGATAACACCAAGGGCAGTCACGCTGAGAGCAAAAATCACGACAGAGCTGAGACCCAAACACAGACTGTAATGTCCCTGTCATGACCTGGGGTGGTGGAAGTGCATCTTAAGGGTTGGTGACGTTGAATTTTACCTTATGATCTTGCGACAGGCCAGAGTTGCCAACAGTTGTTTTTTTGAGTATGTATGCTTCATACTCTGAACTCAGGATTTTCCGTTTTATGAAACTTTTACAGACTGTCATGATCCCAAAGACGGCGAGGAAAAGCCACCGGGTTATGGGAGGGGGCATCCAGCAGTTCTGAGAACTTGAAAAGTATAAAACATATTCATTTTGTTTTCGGCTTATCGTGCTTCGCGCGATTTCCTGCAAAGGTTACATAATAGTTCATTAAGCATGAAAGCTTTCCTTAAACAAAGGTTACTTTCCATGGCAAGTTCGGAAAGCTTTTAAGCATACAATTTCCTTTGCGCTTTACCAGTTTCTCAGGCCTTCCGGACTCCATCCCCCTGCCCGTGGCCTTCTGGAAATCAATGAAAGTGATAAGATTTCGATAAACACCAGAAGTCCTTTTATCACGGAGAAGCAAGCTCCATCCACAAAGCTCTTCCTCGTATGAAGCTTCTGGTTGATTCGCTTCGACCGGCCTTGGAGTCTCAAAGCTCAAACCGGACCTTTTGAACCTTTGCACACAGTCCTCACCTTCTATGGAAGGACCTGCACCAAGAGATTCTAGCCACCGATGCTGTGCTGGAGAAGTGCAGCTCTCAGCACTCGGGCTGTGACCAGGGGACGTCGAGGCTGTGAGGTTTAAGGAGCAGTGCGGACCCGAACGGACTTTCGAGTGTGCCCCTCGCTAAGGATGGAGAGGCTACTCGGGACGTCTCTCCGGCTTGCATTTCTACCTGTCGCATCCTCCAAATAATCTCGCAGCGCTCATTGCAGGAGGGACAGGAAAGAACCGGATTGCGTTTCGATGCACTGCCACTGCAGCAGAGCCTAGCAAGTATCGCCATGACTCGGGTTGAACGGGGCTGTTGGCAGGTTCCAGTCCGACCTCTCCACGATCTCGGATGAGATTCGCATGCTGCAGGCATGTAGTCCGGGATGTGATTGGCTCGCAAAAAGTCCCGAGCCTAGAAGAGACCGGAACATAATGCTGGTTTCCAGTTGCAGTGTTCCGTCTCAAATGTGTGGAACCTCGGAGGGCGACTCTCTCCAGATGAACTTGAAGTTGCACGGGCCACAGCGGGATTGTCTGTCATTTCAGCGGTGACTCCAGTTGTCATGCGTTGCAGCCCATTGGCTCAGCCGTCGGGGGTCCAAAACTCCAGATCTCTCCTTCCCTTGCCACATGCCCGAGCAGAGAGGATATCCGGCCATGGACTCTGCTTTGGCTTCTAGTGGCTTGTGGGCAGCAAACGCTGTTTAGAACCTTGGCCAAGAGTCCAAGCTTTGGTTGATGGCCTACTGTCAAGCCTGATGTCTGATATCTGTCTTCAGCCAGAGCAACCGAGGGTGTTCCATGACCGTCTTTCGCGACCTCTGCGTCAATGGGAAGCTTGCAGGCGACTACTCGGGGTCGAGCCGGCCGGACCGTCGAAGGCGACTGCGATGCAAGGAAGAGATATCCATGTACATGATGTGGCGCGGTGAGTGGCAATGTGTTACATGCCACTTCCCACAGATGATGTGCCACTTCACACTGCCCTGACCGCAGCCCACCCCGTTCAACGCCTTTCAAAGTCTTCAGACGGATAGGCATGATTCAACCAACCAGAGCAGAAAAGCTTATCATCATTCCAGCTGTCGTTGTCGCAGACAGAACAAGTGATTTGCGTAAGTGTAGTGACTGATGGCCAATGCAGAGCATGCAGAGTGGTACTCAAGGTGCCAATGGCGGGCAGCAGCAGCAATAGCAGCCGTGGTAGCATCCTAGAACCGAGCACGACAGCAAATAGCAACTTAGTGGTAACCCAACAGTCGTCGTCGTCCTCCTCGTCGTCGTCGTCTGCATTCAACTTTGCTGCCATTTTGGTTGTTGCTTTGCCTACTCCTAGGCTCGGTGACGGCGAAGGAGCCGGCAGTTCGAGTGAAGGCCTGGTCCACACCGGAGCTGGTGCAGGTGTCTCGGACGAGTTCTCGACCTGAACTTAAGAAACCAGAAACAATTCGAGACCTAATTCGTTGTGTTGATCTTCATATTCTTATCTTAACCAAACCCGAAAGCCCCAAGTGCCGCACACCTCACCCTAAAGCCCTGGCGTTGGATGCCGACCTGAGGCCGTCGATATCCGTCAGCCCGTGGAGATCAGCTTGGAGGAGCAGGTGCGGGTGCTCCACGGCGTGCCCTTGTCGCCCATCCTCGTAGGAGGCCAGCCAGAATCTGAGCCGCATGAAGGGGAGGCTTTGTCTTTGTGATAGTGAATAATGTGTGTCGTGCTCCTCGGCATCATATGTCAGTTTATGTATCCGACTACCCATGTTACTAGATCTAGATGTCTCATATCGGAGCGCCACATGGCACGTAACAGGACAAGTGACACTGGCTTTTCTTAAGCTGATGCTAAGCTCTTAGTAATACTTGTGACATTCCAAGGACTTCGCAGGCTATGGCCAGAACCCTCCAAGCGAAGGAGCCGGTGTTCATCACCGTAGAGCCACCATCGCAGTATCAATTGGGGTTTAGGGTTTAGGGTTCCCACCCCCATCCCCCCACCCCGTCCATCTTATGCGAAGCTAGTCGAAGCCCGACGCGAAGCCCGATCTCGGGAGCATTGCTCCTGGTCTGCCAGGAGATAGCTGGGAGCTTGACGTCACGGCCGAGCAGGGCGGATATGAGATCTGCTCCTCTGCTCCCCAGGGCTTTATCGGGGGGTATAAAGTAGTGCAGTCTAGCAGAATATGCTATGATCTAACATAGTATAGTAAGTATAGTATAGTCAGTATGGTGTATCATAGCATAGTCTTGTCTAGTCTAGCATAATATAGCATGGCATAGGTTAATGTAGCATGGTATAGTGAAGCGCGTCTATTCCTCTATGCCTGGTGGGATGCACCCGCACAGGTTTTGCGGGAGGTTGCAATCCTCACCACGGAATCTTAAGCGTGTACATGGACGGCGCTCTCATCGGCGATGTGGATCAATACAGCCTGTTCAACATCTGCCCGCAGGAGCACATCCTTTACTGGGAATGCCTGGCCGCTGGCCAGCACACCTTGACAGGAACGGTTCGCTGCAAACGCGCGGAGTCCCGCAACTACTGGATCTGCTTGCGTCCCGATCTTAGTGCTTTCATTCTCAATTGAGAGCTTTGCTCGAACTGTCTCTGCAGTCCAGCCTGCCAGGGTCTGGGGTTGGTTTGTTGCAGCTGCAGCCGGTCTAGTTCTAAGTTTTGCGCAACAGAAGGTAGAAGACAACAAGCCAAGGACTTATAGAATAAGAAGGCAGGAGGAAAGGAGAGAAGACTGGCCAGCGGGCATGAACTGTCTCCGAATCTCACTGCAACGATAGACAGGCGCCACAAAGCTATCTCCACGCCTCCTAGTGGTGCAGAGCAGTAAGGGCACCGCTCCCAAAGGTGAAATCACGCTTCGACCCATCTCAAGTCGCCTTACCCTGGCGCTGCTCCTTCAGGCGGGCAGAGGGCTCGGAGTGGCCAATGCCTGTCGAATCTTGAAGTGCAAATGTAAAGGATACGGATAACGCAAAGCAATGTCCCAGAAGCGTTATCGTCCTCATGACTGGGCGACAACTATCGTACTGGGCTTTGCACTCTCATTTTCGTGCTTGTTCCTTTCCGGTCCTAGACCACGAAGACTAGCCCCACACCGCCCAAGTGTGACTTGGGTGCTATCTTCTTTTCTATCATGAGATCGTTCCGGTTCCGAGCAGAGCCACCGTGCAGGCAGCCTGGCTCGGAGACCAGCTGGAAGTGAAGTGCACAGGCATGGCAGGCCCAGCTTTCTGCCAGGAAGCCACGAACCTCAAAGCCGACACACCTTTGTAAGTTGTCATGTGATGCGGCTACAAGTAAACTGCTTTGGCTACTCCCCAGGCAATGACGTCGCCGTCTTCCTCTGTGATACGGATGCCACAGTCGGACAACTACGAAGAAAAGCCGTAGACACGCTCACGTATGCATGGCAGATCGCAGCATCCCCAGTATGACTGCAGTCATCGCCTCAATGCTTCATCACCCCGCCTTTGCATTCTGAGGCCTTGACATTGCCCCACAGCATACTTCTGCGTGAGGAAGACGACCAAAGCCTCTTGGTGTCCGTCCTTGGAATGGCATCGGACAGTGGTTGAAAAGCTTCGGAACAGACCTGTGGATCAAACCATGGGGTGTGGTGCAGCTCCTGCTCGTTGAGAGTCGGGGGGAGAATGCTTTCGAGGTCTCTGGGACCCTGTGGGACAATCAGTCCTACATGTACATAGCAATCGCAGCGGCTTGAAACTACGACCTGCTGCATCTCCAAAGTGCCGACAAGGGGCCCAAGACTGGCGTGCTGCGGCCAAATGAAGCTTTCCATGCACTCGTTGAGGAGCTGAGTTCCAGCTGAATTGCAAGTGACAGCCGTCATTGAGGCAAAATCGTCGGGCATTGCAGTCGCTGATGTCCGACTACGCCGTGCACCCAGCTGTCCCTCCTGTGATGCGAGTGACATGCCTGCGAGCAACGCTGACGTTTTCCTATTCACTGCAGCAGCGAGGCTACTTCAGGTTCAGGTGCCCACGAAAAGTGTAAATCCTGGAATGCCATCCAGTCCCAGCCCCAAGCCTACGATGCTTCGAGCTCCTCCAGAGCCCCGGCTTATTTCAGAAACTCGACTCTTAACGTCCCACGCCGGGGAGGGGCCCCAAGTCAGGTGGGTTCCGTGGTGGTTAGCCCACAGCTGGTCCGACAGATCTGTGAGGAGGAGATTAACGAGGCAGGCTTTGTCTTAGCTCGGCCTGTATGAATTTCGGTCCTTCCTTTCAACTTTCTGAGAAATTGAGGTTGATACCAAGGCTGTTCTTCGGTATGTTTCTGCAGTTTGGACACCCAGCTCTCCGAGGCTGACCAAGTTCCAAAGCACGTTTCGTGTGCAATTTATCCACAACTCACAGCTTCCAAACCCTAAACCCTGCACTTCAGGTTTTACGATAAGTGTACCTCCCCCCCCCCCCCC